AAAACTATGGAATCTCCATCATTGGAAGCTTTCAAGAGCAGGTTGGACAGACAGTTGTCTGAAGTGATTTAGTCAGGAAGGATCCTGCCTTGAGCTGGGGATAGACTAAGTGATCTCATGAGGTCCCTTCCTTCACACTTTCCTATAATCTTTGGTGGCACATTCTTGCACAAAATTTAACTAATAGCACGAAATATAAATTTCTGTGACTGTCATTTTTTGACACGCTTGGTGGGTCAGATAAAATCTCTGTGCAGGTTAGATTTGGCTTGCAGGCCATCGGTTGCCAACTCCTGTCTGAGTAACTGACCAAGCTGATTTTGTTTTGTTATGGAAACAGAATAGCTTGACTTGTATATAATGATCTGATTATTAATAAATATGGCTCTAGATGGTAGTTGAACTCTAGCTCAATTGGAGCTTGTGATGATTTTTTTGTGAATAATCTGTGCTTTCATAATGGCTACAGAATTTCATCCCTACTAGTATAAATCCCTTTTTATAATGATTATAGGATCTCCACTCTTCATTTTGTAGCAGTTAATATGATTGCCACAGTGGTGGAAATACCAATGCACTCAGCCACCTAGCTTTTGAACTTCTCCAGGATTTTAACTGTCCAAAACCAGAAGATGAATGTATGCTGCAGGATATTATGTCAATAGGAGCTTAGAGAGTGAATCATAGCTTGATATGCGGACATGCTTTTTGGAAGGAACACAAGGTATTGCACCGCATAAAATGTATTGAGGTTTGACAGTTTTTAGTCCTAGGATTAAAGTGGGAAAGAATGACTTGCTGATTGCCCTTGACCCTTATCCTGACATGATCAAGGGTCTGTCTGTGATGCTCATTGCGAGGTCAGATCTTGCCTGTCGACTTGGTTTTTGTTGGGACTGAACCATTCTGGTCTCTGATAATTGCCTTTGAAAAGAGGCAATTCATTCTTGAGAGTGCATGCCTCTGCATCTTGCCCCCTGAGCAATCAAAAAGGGTGCTGATAGCAGTAGGAAAAGAATTTGAGGCAGCTAAGTCTGCAGCTCTTTACTGTCATTGTCGTCGTCGTCATCATCACACTGAATAGTTTGATGTATAATGTCTGATTTGTGCAGTGCTGACAGTTACTGTATTTATTCTATTCCAAGATGAGGTTTGTTTCCCCACTGCCCATTTAACATAGGGAGGGAAAAACTTTATCTTGGAATCAAGCATGAGGCAGCTGGGAGGCAGGCAGCTGCTGTGGGTTTGGCTCTGATCCTTGATCAGAGGGTCCTGTTTTCTGTCCTACTGCCTCTGCGCCCCCTGATTCCCCCACCCATCTCCTCAAGCCCCTTCCCCATCTCCTCTTTCCCCATTTCTCCCTTCCCCTCTGATCTTCCCTGATCCCTCTTCCCATTTACCCTTGCTCCAGTACTGGCAGGCTTTGTTCCACTCCAGGCAGGAGCATGGAGCATAGCCCCAGCCTGGCCCCGTATCAGCAGTGCTGGTTCCACACCACTACTGTGGGGTTGGCTGGGGTTGTGCTCTATACTCCATGTCCCAGGCTGGAGCAGGGACAGGCTGCTGGTGCAGAAGCAAGGGTAAGTAGAAAGAGGCAGCAGGGGGCAGAGGCTGTGGGGTGAGAGAAGGTGTGGGACTGAGGCTGCAGTAGGGGGCACAGAAGCAGTGTGGGGGAGAAGACAACAGGGCTGCAGGGCATAGGGCAGGGCTGCAGGGCATAGGGAAGGGAGGCACAAGGGAGGTATGTAGGGTGTGGCAGGCATAAGGGGGCAAAGCTGCTTGCTTTGTACCACCTGTCCCCTCACAGCCCCCTACCACCTGCCTACTTTCCATTTTCCCCCAGTGCCTGCTCCCCTACCACTGCTTTCCCAACAGCAGTGGTGTTAGAGACGAATTTAAGACTGTTCTCCAATGATTAGAAAATTTACATGGGAAAATTTATAACAAATTTATAAATTTTCCATGTATGGAATCTAATTATTGGGGAGGGTGTCTTAAATTCAGGGTTGTCTTGGCTTTGGGTAAATATGTTACTATTTTTCAGGCTTTTCTAGGGCCTGCAACACTAAAGTATATGTTATCAAGGGCAGGATCTGCAGAGGCAGTTACTCAGAGCTCCAGCTATAAGTGAATTACTTTTTAATGCTGATTTTAGAAAGCCATGACTATACATAGTTGAAGAATGTGATTCTCATGAGCTAAATTAGAAAATATTATGGCCTTATTTTTATAAGGGAATATAGAAGGCTTTACCCAAGTCACAGCTGTAATAATGTCCATCTTCTGTAATCTTACATGTTTGTATTTTGCAGTAATGTTAATATTTTACAGGCTTGGCTTCTAGGAATGAAAGTTGTGGGCTTGTGAGAGGGGTTTGTGGTGACAGGTCAGATTGGGACACTTGTTGTAGGCACATTGTTGTATTCACAAATACAGTACCAATAACAGCTTTATCTTGACTATCTTCTCTTAACATTACATTTATATTTTAAGAATTTGAACCGTGATTTAAGGGCTTAAATATAATCTAGATTTAATTTTTTTTTTTTAAATCTTGTACCCTTTTAAAAATCTCTTTACACGAGCAACAAGACAGCCATAACTAAATATTAAAATGTGTGGCCTGGTCCAAAGCTCTTTGAAGTGACATGAGGTTTCCATTGACCTCAGCAGGCCCTGGCCCTTTAAACAGAGTTGTTTAAATTTTGTAACTCCTCCAGTTGTCTGTGACATGGGTCAGTCATTAAAGAAGGAAAGAAACGCTTTGTCCACATTGTTCTCTCTGTGGTAACAGTACTTCTGCTGTAACTATGGTTACAGATGTTGATGTATCTGACCATGGACATTGTAGTATGTAAATGTTTTTAAAAATATCGTCAATGAAATTTGTTTAAAAGAAATAAAGATAAGTAGGTTTATTCTTTCAGTAGAAAAGAAGTAGAGAGATCTACACTCCTGTTCAAAAACTAGCTGCTGAAAATTAAATACATAGAAGAAGAGGAGATAAACTGGAGGGGAGGGAGGGATTTATGGTACAAATTAAGTTTTGCAGTGGGGTTGATTTTTAAAAAGTAAAGTAGGACAGCTTTTTATAAATGTGACTAACTGGAAAGAAACTAAGTTTTGTTTGATTTGTAAAAGCTGAGATGTGAGGAGAGAAGAAAAATAAAGTTTGGGGCATGAGAAATGAGAAGGATGGTAAGGTTGTGAGCAGTCATGGGACAAAGACAAATGAGTAGTAAATGTGTCCGGAAAATAAACACTTGATCTCTATTTGTCTGTAGATTGGGAAGACCTAGAAATTAAAATCTTATGTTCTAAATACACTGTTGTCCTCTGAGATGTCACATTATGTACCAAATCCTTTCTCTCTTCTCTCCTTTCCAGATGTTCGTTGCTGTGGCTTTGGCCAGTGATTTTTCTTGAGTTAATTTTTGCCATATTCTCAGTCATTCATGTTACTTCCCCTTGTCAGCCAACCCACGCGGTCTTCCTCCCCACACAAGTGTCACAACCTCCATTCCATTTCAATTTCAAGGCTACATACTGACAGATGGACGGTTTCTTGTGGGCTGTAGAACAGGACATCTTAACAGATGCACTGTCACTACCACTCAACTCTGCAACAGCTGGGGACACCCAATCCCACATAGTAGAGGTGCACCAGTACATCTGTCCGATATCAGATCAGCACAGATGTAAAGAAAATTGATCATATCGGAAACTAGCCTGATGTGGCCAATAATTGGCTGATAAATGCCCATGCGTGTGTGCAGCTGCAGCGCAGCACATAGGCAGTGAGGAGCACAGCCTGGCAGCTTGGAGAGCAGTGTGCAGCTGGTAAGTCTGGTGTGGTGGAAGGGGTGGAGGGAGGGAAGGGGTGTCAGGGGACAGATCAAGGCCCCTGCAGTGAAGAAGGACTGGGGCTGGGGCAGGGCCTGGTGAAAGCACTGTCCAGCTGGGGCGGGCATGGGATGGAGCCACAGCTCATCCAGGGGGTGCGGGGAAGAGGTGAGTGGCTCCTGCTGCTATGTCACTTGTCCAGGAGCTGCTGATCCAGCGGCTCCCACTGCTGCTTCTGCTGCTTGTCTGGAGGGTTGTGGAGGGGTGTTGTCCCAAATCTGCACAGGGCAGGGCAGGCTTGAGCTGCGTGGGGCTCTTCCCAGCTCACCTTGCCCCGCCCCCCCAGATCTGGGGGCACCCTTTCTTCCCCCCCCCCAGGGCCCTCCAGGACAAGCAGTAGCAACTGCTGGACCAGCAGGCAAGCGCCAGACCAATGGCTCCTGGAACAGCGGCACACAGTGGCAGGAACTGCTCCCAGCCCCCTCCTCCGTGCCCCCAAGACTAGCTGTGGCTCCTTCTGTGTTTGCCCCTGCCCCAGCCCCACTTCTCCCTCACTGTGGGGGCCTTGATCTGCTCCCCTACGCCCCTTCCCTCCCTACTCCCCTTCCACCACACCAGACTTACCAGCTGCTAGGCTGGTATCGGAAATTGGATCAGTGTCGGCTGATACACCTCCTTAAAAATCAGCTATCAGTATCGGCCCCAAAAATCTCTATTGGTGCACCCCTACCACAGATTTCTAAAAATGAGGTGCAGAATTGATTTGTCTCCCTCTATTCCCCATGATTTTGAATGTAAATAAAGCAAAAGATCTTGCGTTTCCTACAATGAGCTTTGTTTTTGGCAGGGATTCTCAATTGGGGGTCAGGTACTTATCTTATGAGTTTATTTGGGAGTCTGGCATAAGGGACTCTGAGGCTAGACCCAAGTTCCCTTTTGCTCTACTGCTGACTCCATTCATGGCCTTAGCACTTAACCTTTTTATGCTATATTGTCTTCATCTGCAAACCAGGGATGCTGATACTGACCTTTTCTTCATGGGTATTGTGAGAATTAATGAATCGCTCAGTAAATCAAGGAATAGAAATAATGAAATTGCCATTATAGTTTAATTATAACTTTATAAATGACTCCATGCTATCTATGTTGTATAATAGGCTGTGAAATCAACAGTGCAGACCATCACTGTAGGAGGAGTGGGTACTTCTCAATTTAAGACCATCATTCCCTTGGCAACGGCACCCAATGTTCAGCAGATTCAGGTACCTGGAAGCAAATTCCATTATGTCAGGCTTGTCACTGCCACAACAGCCAACAGTTCAACTCAGTCAGCCAGTCAAAATCCCAGTACCAACACGCAGTCTCTTCAGCAAGGTCAGTGGTGTCATCAATATGGCATTTTATTTATTTGGTTTTATGTTTACAAGGCTCCTTACAGTGCAAATCTGGCCTGGTGGGGTGATCCAATTTGACACCCCTGTTCTAGTCTTTGGCAATTGCCAGCTGGGCAAATTTAATTCCATACGCCTTGGGTTTGGGATGTTACATATCCATTGCCCTTCTTCAGGGATGTGTTTGGAAATGCTCTGCCATCTCATTGCTCAGTCAATAGGGAACATTTATTCCCAGGAGAGAATATCAGTCACTCTACCTGCTGCTTGATTTGTGACGAGTCATTTACTCTCTCTATATCAAAATAAAACTGTCTGCGTATATCTGACTGGATTGTTGAGGATTATTGAGTTAATGTTTGTTCAGCACTTTGAGATCCTTTGATAAAGCTACAGTGATATCTGCCATTTTTACTGTGTACTGTAGTGGTGATAGAATGGACAGAAGTGAATGAAAATGTGACTGTTCCCCAATAATAGCAAGGAGAGTTGTACACATCAGCTGACTAAGACCAATATTTTTTTATATTTATGCACTGTACTCTGATGGTAACCCTGCATATTTAGTATAGTAAATATATTATGTTGACATAAATTGAAAGCACGAAAGGAATAAGTTGGATATCAAAGTTAGAGAGAAACTATCTAGGATGTTTTGTTTAAAGTAAAAATAAAACATCAAAATTGGGTTTTGCTGAAAACATCTTTAGCCAAAATTTTGTCTGGTTGAGCACTTGAGTAACTGTTCATAGTACTTTTCATGGGTGTCAAGTGTTTTAAGAGCTGGGGCCGAAGTAAGAGAGGTCTAAGAAGCATCTACCCGTAGCTTATTGTAGTCATGTGTTTTAAAAATGACAAATTTGGACCATTTTCAAAGAAGTCTAAAGAAGAAAACTGATTTGCATTAACTTCATTAAAAATGGGATTAATTTATGTACAGCTAAAATGTAACAGCATATAAAATGGAATAAAATAAAGTGAAGAACCCAAATACAATTCTAAAAAAACAAACCCAAGCAATAAATCTATCACATTGCACAAAGGTAGTATTTTTTTTTCATTCTAGGTATGTGGAAGTGCTACAGAATTAAATGGAAGAGACCTGTTGTTAAATGTTCAGATGGCATGTGATTACATGACTTACTGATTTGTTTTGTGTTTGTTTGTTTATTTGTTTTAAACAGCCAAGCCAGTGGTGGTAAATGCAACCCCAGTGCGGATGTCTGTCCCAATAGTACCAGCACAGACTGTCAAACAGGTGAGTGCAATGTGATCTCTCTGTTCTTCGATCATTTCAGCTAGTGAGCAGATGAAAAAAATCTAGTTGTGGAAATAAAGAATGATTTTACACTCTTCTGCACAGACTCTTGTCTTCAAAATGAATTAAAAAAAAACAACACTACATTTACAAGGTAAAGAACCATATGTTGAAGATGTCATAAGGATTTTGTATCTTTCCAGGTGGTGCCCAAACCAATCAACCCATCTTCACAGATTGTTACCACTAGTCAGCCCCAACAAAGACTTATTATGCCAGCCACTCCACTGCCACAAATACAACCAAACCTCACTAACCTCCCTCCGGGTACTGTTTTGGCACCAGCACCTGGCACAGGAAATGTAGGCTATGCTGTTCTTCCAGCCCAGTATGTTACTCAGGTATGTTGTTGGCATGTGACTGTATTACGAAAGGAGCTGGAGATGGTAGTGTCATTTGTAAAAACCTGCTGCCTTGAATCCCCACTTGTGGTTTAGGCATTTGAATTGATGCAATTACTTATTGCAAAACTTGATCAAATATTAGGATAAAAAGAAATAGAAATTCAGTTCATAGTTTAACATTTTTAAAGCCCAGCAATGTATTCAGGGATTGTTTTTTGTCTGGGGCCTGCATGTTGTTGATAGGCACCTTGTTTTACAGTTTCTGCCCTAATGGTCTACATTTTACAGTTGGAGAAGGCATTTACACACTACTATTTCATTTGTATTCTAAGAGGAAAATGACATGGGGACAGGCCAGCTTTGGTTCAAATAAGCAGTGGAAAAGACAGTAGTCTAGGTTTTCAAAAGCATTCTACATCCAGAGGTGGAGCCCAACTTTGAGCCCCTCCTTGTTTTGGCATCAAAATAAAGTGGTCACATTTTTAGGAGTTTTTGGCATCAAAATAAAGTGGTCACATTTTTGGGGGGGCACAGGACACTGACTGCTGCCATTGTGTTCACAGGGAACTATTGTCTGCTGAGCTCTTCAGAAAATGTTACTGTTTCATTCAAATACTTGAATAGAAGTTGCGAAGTTGTGAGATCTCAGCAAAGTGTGGCCTGAGAATGGGACGCACATGTGCGCTCACACGTATGAAAGGGAAAGCAGTCATGTGGAAACTCTTGTGAATTAATGTACTCTTAGCACTTTTTTCCTGTGAAAAAATTAAAAAGGCCATGGCAATAGACTTTGCTCCTCCATATTTTTGCACCTAGCTAATCTCAGCCTAGAACTGATAAGCACTGGCATAACAGAGCATGCAGGGAAATACCAAATAACACAACCAACGCAAATTGGTTGCATTTTCTTAGTCTCATTAAAGTTGATTTTTAACTGACCTTGGACCATGATAGAAGAGGTTAGGCCTATTTTTAGGCTCCAGACTTTCACTTGCGTTTCACCTGTGTACATATTCCTGTAGATAACTTGCATATCAACTATAGGCAAAGCATTTTAGCATCCTTCATAGTGAAGGTATTATGTAAGAATCAGTAGTTTATAAATATTTAACCTAGAACTTTGAACCTAAAGTTCCAACCTCCTTTTTTGCAGTGTAGTCCTAAGACTACTTCTAGTCTTGTGAGTTGTGAATAATTCAAACCAGTCTCAAAATTGGGACTAGAGGAATATATAGTTTACAAAACAGCATAAGGGAGGCTAATAAAGTATATTGCAAAGTCCATTGCGTGAAACTGTAAAAATGTGTACAGAATATTATAAATAATTTACTTTTGGTTTTGTTAGCTACAGCAGTCATCATATGTGTCTATAGCAAGTAACACTGGTTTTACTGGGACATCTAGTATCCAGACTCAAGCAAGGCTGCCATTCAATGGGTGAGTGTATAGAAGAGACTTGAACTGGCTTAAAACAAACGGACAAAAACTTGCTGCAGTCTTGCCCAAAATGTTGGTATGGTTTTGGTACATTTATGTGGGACAGACTAATCCTTGTTTCCAGAGTTACTGATAGGGGAAGTGGGGGGGGACAGCAGGGCGGGTGGGTGGCCTACTGTTGCTGTGTTTTTTGGAATAAGGAACACCTTTCTTTGACTTAAACCTTTTCTTTTTTTTGTTGTTGCAATATCCTATAGTGGGTATTTGAGCAGAGAACTGGCCCATTATTATTCAATATTTGCATTTTAGTAGTACCCAGGAGCCCCGGTCACGGACTCCTCATGGTGCATTTAAATCTGGTAAAACAGTTGGTTATTTAGAACTTGCCAAAATCCACGTAAATATGTAGGTGTCTATAACTAGTCCATAGCATCTGATGGAGTAGCCTGTTTACCTATGAAAGCTTATGACTGAGTTATTTTGTAAGGTGCTGACCTGTCCAGCCTTCTGCCCTTGATAACATTGGCTTAGTTTTCAAGGTAATGCATCAGTGAAGGTGAACATGTTTAAAAACAACATTGCTCCCCACAATCACTCCTCCCAGGTAGAGGGAGAACACTGCCCAGTCCTGTTGAGTTTTTCCTTTCCTGAAAGGCTTGCATTTAAATGTATTGGCTTGTTTATTGCTGATAGGGGACTATTTTCTGAACTAATCCCAAATTCGTATAGAAAACGTTCCTATAACATGTTCTTGTAATCTTCTGGAGATATGTTATATGAAGGGGGCACTAAATATGGTTATGGTGCAGCTTGCAGATCAGATTACTATAAGACGAACTCCTAGGTTTCTGGGATAGGTAAAGCTGGCCTCTGTCAAAGAAGGGGTTCTTTAAACTACATGATACAGTTTCTGCCCTGCTTGCTTCTTGCTCAGATTCTTGTTGGTCTCCCTAGAACTGTTTTTTGTTGTTTCTTTCTTAATTTTTGCTAAAATATGTTTGGAGAGAGGCACCATTTGCATTTATCTCTATACTCTGTGGGGCTTGTTCAGATGCTCAACAGCAGTATCATGAAGCCCTTTCCATTCCCTGTATAGTCCCTGCTGAGAGAGACCTTTATGCAACATAACAGATGCAGGATGGTAAACTCTTCTGCTCCTAGGCTGTTCTCTTTGGCTTTCAGTTCCCATTCTGTTCCAGTGTCCAGCCAGATCTTTGGCAAATAGCCCCTTTCTTTCTTGATTCACAGGGTATCCTTCCCATAATAGCTGTGTTACTTAATCTTTGACAAATATTATGAAAGCATATCGGAGGGAAAAAGTATAGCTTGGCTTATAGGATTTCACTTAATTACTGTTCCATTAACGGCAGTTAACTTGAACTTAAAATACAGAAAAAGAAACTTGTAATTTGTTGGTTCTTTTCCAGAATCATTCCATCTGAATCTGCAAATCGTCCCAGAAAGCCATGCAATTGTACAAAGTCACTGTGTTTGAAACTGTGAGTATAACTGAAATACTCTGATAAAATCTTCAGCATTTTATATACATATGTAGTGTGTGTGCACATGCACAAAAAATGACAGAGAAATCTTAAAGTAATACCAGGCTGAGAGGCCTCTTTTTTTTTTTAGATAAAGGATTCCAATTTAGGATTTCAGTTCATCCATAACTCAATCAAGTGGAAATGTTGCATTGTCCTTTAAAAACAACACTAGGGCAGTGTCAGCAAATTTAATTTCCACCTTGCTTTTTAAGTCACAATGGTGGGTGTGTTGGGCTGGGCTGGATGTTGGCATTTGAACCATGTGATGCAGAAGTGCCAGTGATGATCTTTGTCAGCACTACAGTTCCCATCACTACTGCCACTAGCGGAGTTGTCTGTGGTATCAGCAGTGGGAGGTTTAAATAAAGTAGTCTAGTATGGACAAGGCCTTTAAATGTTTAATTTCTAATACTGTTGTGAAGTTTCTCCCATACAGTGGGTTAGGGTCTGATATAATGCCTGTGTTAGTGTCTGTATAAGTAGGTGGTTATGTTTAGGTGGAGTGATGTCTTAACTTTCCAACAGATACAAAGTAAAAGACCTCACAAGGAGGCATTTATTCTGGGCATTCTTACAACTTGGATGATCAAGAGATCAAAGGCCCCCTCTACACATTGCAACTACCTGGAAACCAGCTACATGTGCAAAGTAGCTATCGCACAATAAAAAGCTCCAGCCAGCCATAAAATCAGACCTTGAAAATATGTACTGACTTTATAGCTGGTTGTTATTGAGCTTTAATTTGCTATGATTCCCAGGGCTTGGGGGGCTTCTCACATCCCCAGGGTAGGGAGATGGCTGCAGCAGTGACCCTCCAGTCCCAGAGGTACATGGCATCCCCTTGCAGTTGAGAGCCCCTCAACTGGGATCCAACTGCGGGAGTCTGCTTCTTGCCAGTGAAGGGGAGCCTAGGATTGGTCTCCCCTTGCACCAGGAATAAGGTGCAATGGGATCTAATGTGCAATCCCACAATCACGCCTCCTGCCATGCACATGTGGCATGGCAGGAGGTGCAATTGTGTGAATCGCACATTAGATCTCATTGAGCCTTTAGACCTGCACATGTAGAGAGGGCCAAAGTGTATTGACAGAGGAGGCAATAAGATAGAAACTTGAGCCCCAGTTAACATACCTGTCCCTTCTTTGTCATCTTGAGATTATTTTTAATTTAGTATGTCATCATCATAATATTGATGTTCACACTCATTCCTTTCTTAGAATTTCTTCACTGCACTAGAAGATATTTAGTTCCCCATCAGATATTTCATAACATTCAGCACCAAATGTCTGCCTAGATGTATGGAAAACGAGGGTTTTGTTGTTCCCAAAATAGCCAGTGAATTCTAAAGGGGAGAAAATGATGACTTTTTTTTTTTTTTTTTAATTTAGCACAGTGCATCTTCAGTGTACTGTACAGAAATTAACTTGGGCCCCGTTCATCTCTTAATTTGCTCCAGGTATAGCCGTCAATGGCCAAGCACTGGTGCACTATGAGTTGTTGTCTTGCACTAGTGAAGCAGCCATTTGTACCAGTAGTACTTGTTCCTGCTTGCAACAGGGTGATTTTTGACAAATTTTACTAATGAGATGGGCAAGTTATAGCTGGAAAATATAGTTACAGAGAGGCTAAAGGATTTGCCTGACACCATTGGTAGAGTTGGTCACAAAGCTATTAATATTAAAACAGAAAACCACTCTTTTAATAAAGTTGTAGAAAAATGGAATTATGCAAGTATTACGTGCTGCTCAAGATGTCTACCTACACCTTCTGGTCCTATACACCCAGATGAGTGACATGACGCTAGCCCATAAGCCAAATTGGGCTCTAGGGCCCATCACCACCCTCTCTTTGCCCCATATGCTGGGATTGGGTCCTGAGGGCTCAGTACCGCCCCCTCTAACCCTCCACACTCTGGGATTGGGTCCCAAGGTGGTGTGGTGCTGGGGCCCAGTGCTGCCCCCACCTGGTCCTGAGTGCCAGGATCTGGTGCCCCACCCAGCGTGCATGGCCTGGGGCTCCTCGTGGGTCTGGAAATTTGGCAGCCAGCTTGCCTTCCACCAAATGTCTGGACCTGTGGGGAACCTCATGGACTGGATCTGGCCCATGGGCTGGGGGTTGAGCATGCCTGGCCTAAACAATCCATCAGTTCATACAGCGTACTAAAATTAATTAGAAGCAATTGGACTAGTTCACAGTAATCCAGTGGATAAGGTACTAGTTTGGACCTGCAGAGGCAGTTCCTGTTCTGCCACAGACTTCCCATATGACCCAGGGCAAGTCACTAAGCCAGTTATTCAGCAGTATTTAGGCTCCTAAAGATACAGATAAGTCTCTAATAGGATTTTCAGAAGCACCTAAACAGGTTGGGTTCCTAATACTTTTTGAGTTCAGCTGGAAGTGGCAAGCATAAATAGTCCACTGAGTACCTAGCTGCATGTTTTAAAAAGCCTATTCCTTAGTCTGTCTTTGCCCAGATTTCCATTTTAAGGATGAGGGAAATTAGTACTTCTCTGCTTCACAAAGTTGGGAGGTAAAGTAAAGATGGTGAGATGCTCAAACATTACAGTAATGGGAGTAATAAAAAAAACTCGGCTACACAACTTGCTTCTCACAGAGGCAACTTTTGTTCTTCATTCTCACGGTGTCACACACAAGACATGATTCACATGTCAGTATTTTATCCTCCTTCAAATCCCTTCTTTAGACTCACTTTCACAAAGTCTGTGAAACCCTGGTTATTGGTCAAGGTTAATTGGGTAATAGTGCTACTAGAATACAAGTGTTTTGTGCTGCTACTGCTGGCAGAATAATGCTAGTGTGATACCTTTGGCCACGTTTTTAAATACTTTCTGGATTTCTTATTTCAGGTATTGTGATTGTTTTGCAAATGGTGAATTCTGCAATAACTGCAACTGTACAAATTGTTATAACAACCTGGAACATGAAAACGATAGGCAAAAAGCTATAAAGGTGAGCTTGTCTTTTCTCCTTTAAAGTCAGCAAAACTTAGTTCACTGTACTCATCACTGCAACTGAAATTGGACAGTTGACCTCTTGTTTACCCTCCTCCATTGTTAGGATGAAAGTAGTAACCTATGTCTCTTGGGGCTCAGGAGAACCAAGTCTTGAATTTTCCCGAGGAATTTTTTGGCTGTAGTTGCTGTCTTGATGCTTTGTAGGCCTGTGCGAGTGTGGAAGTATTCGATTCTGATTCGGAGGACGGTGATTCAATTCAGATCACTGTCCTGAATCAATTTGGTGCTAATTTGGAGAGATTCAGTGATTTGGATTGGCGATTGGGGCCTCTGGGCACTCATGGCAGAGCCCTCCTGCTTAGCGAGGCAGTGGGGATCCACATTAGTCCATGGCCAAATCTCCGAATCGGCTGAATCTTTTTCTGAAGCATTTCTGAATTGATTTGATATACTTTGGTCTCCTGATTCAATTCAGATTTGGAGATTCAGTTTCCGATTTGGGCCGAATTTCCCTGAATCAAATTAGCTACCAAAGCTTTGCACAGCCCTAATGCCTCTGTATCCTGTACCATATGTTTGATTCATCTTTCGCATCTACATTTGCAGGCCTGCCTTGACAGAAATCCTGAAGCCTTTAAGCCCAAAATAGGAAAAGGAAAGGAAGGGGAATCAGACAGACGACATAGCAAAGGTTGTAACTGCAAACGTTCGGGGTGTCTCAAAAATTATTGTGAATGCTATGAGGTAAGATGCATTTCCGTGACTTAAATAAATTGAGTTTTCATCTTTTAAAATGCAACTCATCCCCATTCCATCATCTCTCTTTCAGAGCTTTTAGTTGACTACAACCACTAGAGCTGGTCAAATATTGTTTCAATAATTTGACTAATTTCATGTTTTTAGACTGTTTATTTTCCAAAAAACTTGTCTGGTACCTAGTATCTAGCATAAGAACTACTCTTTAGCTTTTACTACACATGGTAAAACTTACATTTGATCCTTCACAGTTGTATCTTCTAACAAAATATTAGATATTGTTAATGTGCTCAAGTGTTTCTTTGGAGCATAGCAAGTGAATCTCCTTAAATAACTGGAGTGTAACCTTGCCTTGCAATTCTGTTCATGCACATAGCAGCCTATCCTGGAAACTGATTGCTTTGCTTGTAGCCCTGTATATATCTGAATAGATGGTGATTATGACTCTATATTAAAAGGTAAATTCAGACTGTCTGAAGTAATGTCTTCTGCAGAAATTGGTTTTTTGTCATGTCCTTGATACCTTTGTGTAGGTCAGTGGTTTTCAACCTTTTTAGATTCAAGGAATGCTTCCATAACTTTCAGTTTCATAGACATTAGGGCTGGAAAGGACCTTCGGGTGGGGGGGG